GTCGAACTTTGATGCCTCCCAAATCTGATACTCTGCGAAGCTTGTCTATGGCGCTGGCAGTCATTGTGTCCACAGCTAGAATATTCTTCCGCGTGTTCACCCGGATATCCTTAATGTCGTTTGGTGCTACCCCCTCAAAGTACATAGAGAGAGCTTGCCTGTTTACTGCTCGAAGGCTGATGGTGGGGTCCTCGGGCATGAAGAGGATGGTGTGCGGCCAGCATTCTCCTTTTGAATGAGACGTTAATGTCCCTGCTGGTGAAGACGACTTGATACTTCTTCTTTTGGCCTTCCTGCTTCTCACGGTCTCGAAGTCGTCATCCGACGAGTCGTCGCCAGTGGCCGAGTACAGTTCCGTGTCCTCGCTGGTGCTCGAACAGGTGCTTCGTTTCCGCGACGAGCTTGCCAAAGGTGGTCTATGGTCGGACAGAGCCGCAGAAGGCTCCACGTCCACAGCCATGATGCAGTGACTATCACCGTTGGCCTCACTGGTTCTGGGCCAGGCGCGCTGATTTACCGAGGAGCTCGCCATAGCAGACCTCTGGCTGGGCGGACCAGTGGATGACTCCGCGTCCGTCGCCTTGGGGCAGGGAGCAGCGTCTCCCTTAAAAAGCGAAAAACTTGATAACAATGCTCGGAGCCGAAAGCAGAAGCGTTCTCGTCACTAGAGGGAAAAGGCACTGGACTCTATGGGCGTTCACCGGGGAGGCTAGATTTCTTCTTTACAGCGAGAATTTCGTTATTGAGTATTTTCGTTACTGATGAGTTCAGCTGTCCCTTTTGTGGTTTATTTATTATTCAAGCAGACATCGTTATTGCTAAATAATCAACACACTGCTCTCAATGTCATTATGTACACTTTGGTTGTAATTCACCTTCAATATAACTTCAATAAGATCCGTCAACTAACTGGCAAGACTACGTTTTGCTACATTCAATGTCAGCAGTCGCTGCTGCTCAATGGGTGGCCACACCTTGTTACGAGCCTGGCCCTGGCGCCAGTGTTAGTCGAGCAATGGCAAGCGAAAACACGTGTAACTGATCGGTAGGCGTTTCGAATGCACGAAAGCGTGGCGCCCACTCACCAGCGGTGATGGATCATGCAAGAGCGGCAGGGATTCATTGGAATCCAATATGAAAGGCGTTACTCCTCTTTGTTCCCAAGAAGAATGCTTAAATTGAATCACAAGCTTAAGAGTAAATAACATAAGGAAGCCGATAGAGTATGAATAAGTGAATAAGAAAGGATGAAATTGTATAGGCCAGCATTCTCCTAAGTACCCTAAATCATACCGTATAGCTCTTCCTTACTTTTTACAGTACAGTGGCTATGGTGTTGACTAAGCATTCGCAGCGAAGACATAGTTGTAGACAAAAGTGATTCTTCCTTTAAGTCCCACTGAGTTCTATAAAATCAATCAATTAATCACTCAATCAATCAATCACTTACTCAATCAATCAATCAATCAATCAATCAATCAATCAATCAATCAATCAATCAATCAATCAATCAATCAATCAATTGGCAATCAAATCAATAAATCAATCATTATATGCTCCTAAATATGGACTTCAGTGCGCGATATTTATGAAGTGCGGCCACCACAACTCCTAATAGGTTATCAAAGGTGTCTCATGACAGACAATGTAATTCAGATTCCTGTAAAAAAAGTTCTGTAGATACCTATACACATTGGACAACGTCAAGGCATTGCACATAAAAAAAAATCCGTAAACAGGGGTTCCGAGCCGAAGTTTTCACAAGCTGACTAGCCTTCTTCAATGCTAGAAGAAAACTTGACACATGACAAGACCTGAAAGCAAAGATAAAAAAGACAGAGCCTTACACAATACGTAAAAGAAAAGTAGGTTTCTGTGAATTTATTAATTGCTCCCGAACTATTGCACCCATGGTAGGAGCTAGGAAACACTAATGCTAATGATGAAGGCATGCCTTTGAGAAGTCTATCTTAAAGTAATAGGGTGGAGCATCGACATGGCATATTTCGAAATATGGGCATGTATATTAAACTGCTATATATATATGGTAAGAATGAAGATCGTGTTCGATACTGCGTAACGTAATGAAGTTATCTGAAAGAGTTGTGATGAAGGGTAATAACAAAGGTGTTTCTTTGATGTCTTCGTCAGAAGCTGTTGATTTGTATTGAAAAAGACGTTTTCGCCGTTCTCGTTGATGGCGTAAGCGAACGCTGAATTCACTACCATTCCGTTTCATTCTTTTTGTCTATATGTCAACAATTTCGCTATAAGATACGATATTAAGCAAGGCGCCGTGGTGGAGCGATTACGGTTTTCGCGGGCTGACCCAACGAAACACAATTATGATCACTGCCGTGCCGGCTGCATTTCCAGAAAAGCATGCCAAGAGGCGCGCGTACTTAAGTTTGATTTTGGTGCACGTTAACAAAACCTAGGTGGTGAAAATTTCCCGACTGATTCACTAGGACGTTCCGCATTATGATATCAAGTTTTGGGGCATGTAAAGCCTTTGAAATTATTACTCACCATGCTAAGTTACCATTTTGGGGTCATGATGTTAAGGGCACGTATGTACTAACTAAACACTTAAAAAAAAAACTAAGGAAATGCGGCCGCCACCACTTTTCAAGGCAGGGGTGGCCGGCGAAAAGCACTCTAACAAAAAAGTAGTTGTCTGGGCAGATGCAAAAAAAAAAAAAAAAGACGCGATTGCTCGCAACTTTAGCGACAAAAAAAAACAACTAAAAAGACTTCATGAGCATAGCCAAAACTGACGGTAAGCAATGAACAGTCGCTTTTTTAAGGTGAGGGCTTCCGCATGAGCTAACCACAAGATGGTCTTCTTCCCACCGGTTTGCCGGGCACCCCTGCTTTTGGAAAATGAATTGTTTGTGGCAATTTTGTTATGGGCACGCTTAGGAAAAATGCAGCTACGCCGGTCCCACTTTTGTGCTTTTAGGCCATCATTAACATGTACTAATATTTGCCGTTGAGACTGTACCATGATGGCGAGAAGGAAGATACTGAATATATAATTGCACAAACAAGGCAGGGACAAAAAGAAGAAACGATGAAACAGAGTGCTGTGCCATGTGAGATTATCCCTTCCTTTCAGCCGCAAGCCCAACTGCCAGTCATTCACAACGTGAATACCCCGGCCAACAAGGTGAGACTTGTGGCGATTCAGGATTTTTGCTCCCCTAGCACCGCATTCAATTGTACAGGTCGTCCCGTGCACGTTTTGGCAGTAGTCTGTGAGTGCCTTTTCAAGTATAACAACGATGAACTACATGAAGACATTGATCGTTGCTTCAACATCTACGCATTTCAGACTTCAAGAGCCATTCTCTGGCACAACCACCTCAAAATGAAGACATTACTCGTAATGCCATTTATAACGGCAAAAGTGCAGTTTTCGAGGCTCGAAAGGCCCCGTACCTCTTGAACATAAGGTATCAGTGTTTCATAAGCAATGAGCGTACATCGCTGATTGGCTAGAAAGTTGTCATTCAAGAACGCGAGTTAATCAATGTGTTCGCATGTCTTTCAGCGAGATATGACTTCTTTCCGCCATTACAGAACACTGAGTAGAGTGCGAGTTTTCATTCTGAGATCTGATTTCTGTGTGAAATAATTAAGTGTTTTGCCTGAGACACGAACTGCAGCCTTATTTCGTTTCTTTCGACGGAGCCATTGCCTGCACGTAGTGTAAGCGTGCAGGCACTGACTTATCAAAATGCACTGCGATTTTTTGTACTTTGAAATATTGTAGTTTATAGATAATTCTCTTGAAGAAGCATGCGCGGTAATTTTCGTGCGCATTCCTTGAATTCGTAAGTAAAGGAGACAGAGATGCGTTTGCTTAAAATGTGGTGCGCAAGCTGCTGCAACGGTGGTAGCTGCTCACAAGAGCGGGGTCTGTTGTTCCACTGAGATAATTCATATACCCTTAGCAGGTCACATTGGCCATTCATTATCCTCGCCTTAAGGAAACCTGTGCTGCGATATTGACTTGAGCCAAAACCGTTGATTTCGCACTAGGTCCATCTCTTCAGACGACTTTTTTCCTGCTTCAAAAAACCGGAAGGAACTGCTAGATCGAAAGTACTAAACATAGTAAAGAGAATGCCACTGGGTGCTCTTGCCATGAGCAATATTTAGATATATGTAACTGCGTATGTCCCCATACAGTCATAAGAAAGCTTTCGATAGCAGTTCAAATTAGCTGGGATGACGCCATGTTTAACGAGAAACACATTCAGCGGACATCTGCGCTGAAGCCATGTTTCTCTATTAAGCTTATTCCACTTTTGAATTCGAAGCGTGACTTCCACAAAGTAGGGGCGATTCTCCGAGATACATTGAAATTTTTGCTGCCCCACCTCTGATTTCGGAATCACAGGAATTAATGCGACCATATAGAATGCATGTACAATTGAAAAAGCATTTTATTGATGCCTGACCTCGTGCTATTTGTTATGAATAAAATGCTGCAATATAAACTAGCGACTGAGCCTGTCTTTTTCGTAAATTAGAGAAATGAATGTGGTGTTAGAGGTGTTCACACCGATAGTGCATTGGTTAGCAAGCATGCGCTGTCACTTGAAAATAGGTGTAACAAGGTTGAACAAACCCTACCGAAGGTAGGAACAAAGGGGCTAGAAAATGGTAGCAGAGGTTGTTTGCGTAGCGGAGGAGCACTGTCCTCGGCAACATTTATTTACACGATTCACAAACAAATTTGAGGTCTTGAGAATACAACAGTTCAACTTGAAAGGCACCCATAAGCTGCTGACCCTTTCCACCGGTGGCTGATTCTGTACAGGCTCTCACTTGAAAGGTACTGACACTGCAAATAATAAAAAAAACAATTAGAAAATTGAGCCGACATTCATGATGAAATGTAAAATTTTTCGCTTGAAAACACAAATGCTTGTTGCACGATTCAAGAATGTCAACCACCCTATGTTTCCAGGCAAAATAACACACGAACTTACTAGAATCTTGAAGGAGTTTGAAGGGAACACTCATTTGTGGTGCTTCACGAGGACCACCTTGCCTACGCCTCCACTGGTTCCGCCATAGCCGCCATATCCTCCGTAACCACCAAGGCCACCGTAGCCACCGTAACCACCGTAGCCACCGTAGCCACCGTATCCACCGCCTAGACCTCCATAGCCGGTGCCGGCGTAGGTGACGCCGCCTCCGAATCCTCCTAGACCACCGCCGAGACCAGCACCTCCGGCACCGGCGCCTCCGCCGACACCCCCGAGACCAGAGTGGGCAACTACGGCTCCGCCGCCATGAACTTGAGAAACGTGGTGCACCGTGCGGACGAGAAAGGCCGGTCCAGCGACGGACTTTCCAGCCCCCGCTCTGCCGCCGTTCAGCAGGACTACGCTGCTTCCGACACCGACGTTGCCAGCACCTCCACCGATGCCTCCAACTCCAAGACCTCCGACACCTACGCCACCTCCGAGACTTCCGCCATAGCCTCCACCGTAGCCTCCGAGACCACCGTCACTGATGTATCCACCACCAAGACCACCACCCAGGCCACCCCGCTGCCTCCGATGAAGCCGCCAAAGGCACTGGCGACCATGACACTCAGTAGAAGAGTGCAGAGCTGCGAAGATGTCTGATGTAAAAATTGTAGCTTTTTCTTTACGTCGATGCATTTATACTTGACTGTTATTAACTATTACTAATTAATCGGTGTGTTAGGTCTCTGTGTAAGCTTTTTCACGGTTAGTCAAGTGTTCACACTCAATTTTTTCCGAACGCTGTCTGTTCAAAAATAAGTTCATAGTAATAATCATGTACATAAACCCAATAACGGAACACGTTGAACACCAAGTCTACCTTATTTTCTACACCTGGGCATGTCTACAGTAACACAAATCATTGAAGTGGTGCATCACGTGTTATTGAGCACGTGTCATCAAAAGCAGGTGTATCCCATACTAGTACATTTATCGAAAGTATGTGATCCGGTGTCTGATGACAATCGCTTCTTGAAACTCTGGCTTACTCTGGGCACGAGAAAAATTCTTGAATGGAAGCTAGTAGTCTCGAGGCAACACAATTGTTGCTGCGGTCCTTGATAAGTGGTAGTTTTGACTGCTGTTCTCCTGCCGCGAAGCTAGACTTGCAAGTCTATTCTTTATTTAGGCACCCCCCAATATTCGCGTTCTATTTGTCGGTGTTGTACAAAGCACTAGTTACGTTTATAAAACTAAAGTGGGTTGCCACAGGAAGCTCCAAGTTTTGTTGTTGGCGCCCATGCAGCACATCACTCCCAGTTTGTTGCTTTTTTTGGCATTCATTTTTCTACTAGGTTCTCTGCAATTTCTTACGTGCTGTGTTTGCGATAAGCATCTGGACATGTGCAAGAGCAAAGAAGTATTTGGCAAGAGAGACTAGGCTGTCGGAAGCTAATATGCTTTGTAGAAACTGCAGTAATGACAGCACCATGCTAACGGTATGATATGCCAATCAAGGAAAATATATTTCGTATGAAGTACGTCGAGATGTGTCAGTGAACTTGTAACTTTGATTGACTCTGGTACAACGGGGACGTTATGGCCGCGGAAGCTGAACTGCAACTGAATTCAATGTTGCAGCAGATTTGTCACACGAGTTATCTGTCATAGTTACCTTACAGTGTAAACATTATTCAAGACACAACTTGAGTTTCTGATGTCTTCGCCGTCTGCAGCAAGAACGCAGCAACGTGCCGAAATGCTTTAGCTGAATTGAACTGCTCTACATTCTCCTAAATTCAGGATCGTGACCGTATCTTTTCTCGTAATCTCGATTGATCGCTAACGGGAAAGCTTGATGCAGTACTTTCTCAGATAACAGAAGGTATAGAAAGTACTCACTACCACCAGTTTCAGCACTGAAATTCCTAATGCGCGAGCAGAAGCTATCGCAAGACAAAGTGCAGAAACTTTAGGTTTGGGAATTTCGAGAACGGTACACGCGCAGATAGGTCCTTACCAAGGCGTTCATGGTGAATACTCGTCGACTACTCGGGGCACAAGCGAGCAACGACCTGTGGAGGATGTGTGGTCTGCGCCGTGGCAAGCCGGACTTTTATACTCGACCCGCACGCACAGCTTCCCGCTGTGTCCTTGCGACGTCACAAGGGGAGGGTCTATAAGGTGGGCCTCTATTCTGTGTGCATACACACTCTCACTTGAAGCGTGGAACTTCCGATGTCCTGCTTCTTTTTCATTTCTTCTTGAGACAGAGATTGAGAAGAGAGAAGGGAAAGGTCCCCGCAGTGTCGGTGCCGTGGAAACTCTTCGCACTCGCAACTTGTTCGGAAGCATAGGCAAACGAAACGTGACGGGCGCACGGTACCTACCCTTGCTATCTAGATCTACAATTCGTGTTATACGACGTCGATGCGTGCCAGAAAAAAAAAAGTACAGATGCGAAAAAGGAAGAGCCACAGCGTAACACTGTTCGACAAGTTTGCCCGCCACACTGCATTTTGGTAGTACTTTGGTCTGAGGATGATGGCCAAGGCTTCGAACATAGGTTATATTTGTAACGAAATCGCCACCCAAGCAAGCACTGCGTAGTCGTTGTTGACCAGTGAAGCTCAAACGGGCCGCTGCGTCGCTTATCGAAGGTTTTCTTTATTAAAAAAAAAACCTTACAGGCCCCAGAACAGGGCATTGGGTAAGGGGGGGAGGAATCGGAATGGTACAGACACGTAACGAACAGTTTACAGGCAGGATCAGTGCAAGAACAACGAAAACTATATATATATATAAATGAAATCACATTTTAGGCTATACAAGGCGAGGTAAATTTGAGGGAATACAGCACTTGTTGATATGAACATGGCGACAGAGGGATACATTTTAAAAATAAAAGACAAGAGGAATATAAATCACCGTTACGCAATGCACTCAGAATACAAAAACAGGGTCACATGGTTTGGTGATTCATTAAACAACACTTCTCAGTTACCGGTTACTGTGCTTGCACAAGTATTCATTGGGGTTTGCTGCCAGTATGTTCTCTACTCGATTTTTAGTAGGCCAGTTCTGAGCAGCAGAATTGTCCCACTTCCGTTCCACAAATTCAGGCCCGCGAATGAGTTATTCATTTATAGTGGGACAGTGGTTAACAGTGGCCTTGTGCAACTTCTGTGGCACATGCACGCAAAAAGAGCTCGAGTACACAGGCTGGAAAAATTTCTGTTTCGCCTATACCCATACAGCCCCGCTATAAAAATATTTTAGGTGAGCACTTGGGTGATAGCAAAGAGTATATTTTGTTGACTGCAGGGTTCACTGCAGGCTACTTCATTTTCCCTGCTGTCTCTTCTAATCATCTTGGTTCGGGTGGGGGTTGGTGATCAATTACTTCAAGAGTGAAACCAATTACTGTTTGCTATAGAGAGAAGACCAAAATTTTTATCAGCGTTCAGTGCATTGCTTCTGAGATCTACTTTCAAGGAGCCTTACAGCGGTTAGTAGCGGGAACCGAAAGCACCTGAAAGTTTAGACCGCAATAAGCATTGCCATTGGTGGCTACGTTGGCTCCTAGTAACCTACGTGACGACTCCATTCGTCGATCTATTGTATCTAGTATCTAGTATCTAGTGTATGCCACAGGCAGCTATCAACAAATCTATCTTTTGACACCCGGTTGCGATGATGGCAGGGAAGAAGAGGCTATAAATTGTGTCTCAGCTAGAAAGAACACTACATACTCCCCTCTCTATCTCACCATCGTCATTCATTATTCTTTCTTTTCCCCTTACCCTTCCCCCAGTGTAGAGTAGCAGGCTAGAGCAAGCTATCGCTCAGGCCGACCTCTCTGCCTTTCTGTAAACTAAACTTACCTCCTCTCCTCCATTCGTCGATTGAAGTTTGTCCTTGACTCTCCTGCTGTATTACGGCTTTCTTGTACTTTTTCGCCTGTTTAACTACTTGATCAATTTACTAGTCGTTTAACGCATGCATGCATGCATGCATGCGTGCGTGCGTGCGTGCGTGCGTGCGTGCGTATTCTTTCGGTTCTGTAACGCATCTACGTGGCCTTGTCCCCTTAGTCGAGTCACTTGCGTGTGGTTCCATAGTATCTTTGAAAGGTGCGAATGATCTTAGCGAGACGGCTTGATGGCACATAAGACAGAAGAAGCAATTACGACGCTTGAGGCATACAATGTTGGTAAAGTACCCATGTTATAACACCGTAATCCGCGCAGTGACTTTCCACTTTCATTAACGGTTCTGTTCTGTTCTGTTTTAACTGTTTTGCTGTGGAGAGGCTGAGGTGCGTATTGCCTCGGCTACTGCATATCATAAAGTTCTGCAGCAAAAAATGAAATGATACAGAACGGTACCCAAAAATTAACAATACGGAAAAGAAGAAAAAAACATAATAGCACACTGAAACCAGTTCAAATATCATGCCAATACACAGTTTTCTTCGCGCAGTTCACACAGTCATAAACTATTTACACGCACACCTTACTATTCTACTGTCAGTATATACATGACCACATTTTATATATACCCATCTCTGGCTGTCTGTCATAGGCGCTTGTCCAGTCCGGTCTCCACTAAAAAGTCTGTCAGGAAGATTATTGCCTTTTTCTGGAGATGCATCTCAGGCCATGGTCCAAGCATTTTCTTTATTGTGAGGGGCCGTCTGTCCAAACTTGCTAATTTGTTCTTTAATTTTTCTCTTTCAATCGCGTATTTGACGCACTCCAAAAGAATATGGCGCACATTTTCTTCTGCATGACCACAATGGCATTCCGGTGAGTTGGATAGATGTATCTTGTGTATGCTACTTCCAATCGAAGACGGTGGATTAATGTCTCTAGGTGTTGTGGGAGGTCTGTAGCTATGGAAAAATTTCTGTGTGGATCAGCTTCATAAAGTACCGTTTCCTTTGATTTAGGGCTCTCAAACCACTTCTCCATCGAACAATGGTTAGCTCCTTGCGATATAAAATGTCGAATATCCGCCCCTGCATGAACGGTCTTGGGCTCCAACGTAACGTTGGCGAAGCTACAGTTTGCAATTCTAGCCCTTGAAAATGGGCTCCCTTGCCACGTGCAGTGCATGCTTCAAATGTTTACATATGATTTATGTTCAAGCGCTCACGAAGTGCGAAGCTCAGACCTAGTTCGTAGAAGCGCTTTTCTCGTCGCGTGTATATACTTTAGCTACTCCATGGCTCAATCATCCCTTTAGTATCTAGGCTATGCCACAGGCAGCTATCAACAAATATATCTTTCGACACCTGGGTGCGATGATGGCAGGGAAGAGGACCCAAACGTAATTGAAGTGGGTGCCCCAGTGGCGCCTGTCCGGTGCCTGCGGTGGTTGCGTTTGAAAAGACATCTATTTACCTTGCCAGTTAGCTCCGTGGCTATTGGTCTACAATTTTTATTGCCATTAATTTGAACAACCACCCGCATTAATAACGACTGTCATGCAATGAACAATACAAGTACATCAGTGATACATTCTTGTTGGACCCGCTGAGGGCAGCCCTCACCCATGCTACCTCGATGGACGTTGTTTTCATTTGTGTACAACATAGCTGAACCCTAAAGCACTTGATGGAGTGGCTCTTTAACATTACGAGTGAGTTGCTAACGACGAAACAAAGCTGGTCTGTCCGTACACGAACATAGCGATGGCACCCTTGCTATGTGCGAACAAGGAACTTGTATCCTGGACATCCGTTTAAATACTTACCCTGCAATATTGAATTAACACTCAATAAACTCCTATAGGTATTGTTTCTCTCGGTGCGGTTTTCCGTGCATGAAGCCTATTTATATTGCTGTATATGTGGCAATATCTACTCGGATAAAACTTGAATAACGCTTGAGATCCGCCTGCAATAGTAGAACGTGATAGCGTAGTCAGGGCTGCTCCATGTGTGCCGTCTCATCAGTTGCTAGCGTGACTTCGGTTGCCGGTCGATGCTTCAACTGTGCGGCAGGGAAACGAACGTAGCGCACGCGTAACATTCAACGCTTTAAGCTATTCTTTTAGAATGCCTATTGCACGTACAGTTGCGAAATGGCCAAAAATGGTCCTTTGCAAATTAGGCTATATTTCACTGCGTGTCGGTAAAGATAAAAAAAAACACGCCAGGCCTGCGTGGAAGACGCAGCACGGGCCACAGCGAAAGCTGGAAGAGCGGCCTTTCAGAGCCTTTCAAAACGCTCATTGGGTAACTACTGCGAAGCCACGTTGCTCGATACCCACTAGGGCATTAATAATAAAATTTTTTGAGTAGTAGACCGGCATTCGCTATGCTATTTTTGCCATTCTTCTGAGAAGCGTGGTACCCGCTAAACACTAGCAAGGAATGTCGTGCCAATTGATCATGCTGCAGCTGAAGACGATGAGGAATTGTGGCTGAAGTGGGTGTTCGCCACAGTTAACAGGGGAACAAGAACAAGCTTTTGTAATGGGTTGGAGCATTGGACGACCCACTCGTTACGCTGTTCGCGTTTCGCGACGACTGGTTGTTCTTTCACTGTTTCGAAACGCTTTATAAGTCGTAATAATGCCCCGCCGTGGTGGTCTAGTGGCTAAGGTACTCGGCTGCTGACCCGCAGGTCGCGGGATCGAATCCCGGCTGCGGCGGCTGCATTTCCGATGGAGGCAGAAATGTTGTATGCCCGTGTGCTCAGATTTTGGTGCACGTTAAAGAACTCCAGGTGGTCAAAATTTCCGGAGCCCTCCAGTACGGTGTCTCTCATAATCATATGGTGGTTTTGGGACGTTAAACCCACATATCAATCGAGTCGTATTAACGCGATTGCTTTCCCGACATCAAGCCTGCCTAAGTCAAGTTTGCCATCAAGTCCCAAGAACTGGTGTGGATCAGCGGTAGAATACTCGGGTGGCACCCAGCGAACCTAGGTTCGAGCACCACTGTGTCATTGATGGTAGGCTATTTTTGCTGATTTCGCGCGATGTGGTTACGGACACCGGTGGTGGCGGCGGACAACGGTGCGTGACCCGAGTTGTGATCTTGTAACAGCTTTCGCTGTAAAACGCGAACCTAAGCAACTGCTGACTTAGGGCGCTTTGCAATGAGTGGGCCTTCAAAACGCCCACTTTTTGTGCAATTCTAATGTGTTGACGCCTGGTGTGATTGGACGCT